GTAATTTTTAAGAGCACCCTGACCTAAACTCTTATGATCCAAGAATGGAAGTGGAGATCGCTGGCAGCATTCTTCTAGAAACTTCTCTGGGGTACTCCTAACTGTTCCCGGAAATGCAAAAATAATTCTTAAAGGGAACAAGTGGGGTAGTACAAGAATATTATACCAGTTAAGAGTGCACAAACTTTGGAATTCCGTAAGATAGGGATTATAATAGCATCTCAGAGGTTTATTACATAGATGAAACTACACATATACTAAGTTGGCCCAGCAGAAGTACCAGCAATAAAAAAGACAGAGGAAACTTGAATGCTCTTGTAAGGAGAAAGAAGCCAGTCTGAAGAGAACGTACCCATATGCCATGTTTCCAAGTACAAAACATTCTAGAAAACCCAAAGCCTGGGTTGGGCATGGGGAGGAGGAAATGATAAACAGAAGGAGCACAAGGGATTTTTAGGGCAATGAAACTATTCTCTGTGGTGTGTAATGGTGAATGCACAACATGAAAGCCATTGAAGGCTACAACACACAGAGAGAGCGAATGAACTTAGGTACATAGCAACGTATTAATCCTGAGCTGTCGATGGTAACATATACTCCACATGACTGGGTTAGTAATAATAGGGCTGGTAGCCTTTCAGAGCTTCTGTAACAAAATACTATAAAGTGGATGGCTTAGAGCAATAATAATGTTTGAAGTCAAGTACTGAGCGAGACCATGATTTCTTTGGCACTATTCAGCATAGCTTTTCCTTTCTTTCTTTCTTTTTTTTTTTTCTTCTTTTTTTTTTTCTCAGTTGGGGGCTCAGTAGGCCATTCAGGCTGTTCTTCAATCACTATGTAGCCCAGGCTGGCCTCAACTCACAGTGATCCTCCTACTTTAGCCTCCCAAGTTCTGGGATTACAGGATGAACCACACCATGTTGGATTCAGTGTATCTTTTCTTGAAAGGGGTTAGAGTTTAACCCAAATGAAGGAGAAAGTGTGGGAGAGGGTAGGGGAAAGGGAGTATATAGGAACTCTGCACTTCTGGTACAGTTTGTATTTCTGAGAAAATAAAGTTCAACAATCAAAAATTTCAAGGGATTTTAATAATGACCTACCATGTAATACACAAGTCTTACTTGCTTTTGTAGCATGAACTTCTTCAGTGTTTTATTCTTAAAGCATTCTGAAGCCAACTCGGGCAATGCCCCAAAGCCCAAGGACCCCACCCACCCTATCCCACTCAACCTTTGGTTTATGGTAATTTACAAATTCATAGGATTTAATTCTCACCCAAAGACCCTATCCCTTCATAACTGAGTGCTGGATTTGAAAACAAAGCCTGCTGAGAATCTCTCCTGCCTTGGCTTCATTTATACACGTGTACATGTATGTGCGCACGCATACACACACACACACACACACACACACACTATCACCTTCCAACTCCCACCAGCCCTGACCCAAACAAAAGCAGAATCAAACTAGTTCTCCTTATGAAGGGGTCACAGTAAGCATCTATAGAGAGGGTCCTGTGGCCATCCGAGGAAAATGACAAAAACTTTGTGAATATAAAACATAACAATACACATCCTGGTTGAAAAGCACACAGCAGATATTAAATTAATTTGAAGGGAAAGAACCAAACATTAGATTTAATTGCTGTAAATATACTTTAACTCCCTATCTAGAGAGATACAGAAGAAACAAAGGAGAACCAAAGAAGGCAAAAGATAACAAAAACAAGTAGCAGAAGTACCAATACATATTCCACTCTAGGCAAGAAATACAAAGGAAAAAGCGCAAGAAGGGAAGGGGGGAGACAGCGGTGCAGAACTCTGGATGCTGGCAAGGTGTGTGAGGACATGCCTCTTTGTCACATGCCGCCCGCCCCCCACCTGCACCACAAGCTTTGTAGCATGTTTACCAAAAGAGAGACCCTTGTGTTAAGTGACTGAAATCAGTGCCACAAACTTGTCCCTTCATCAGCATAGGAATGTCCTGTTTGAAGAAAACCCAGTAATGAGAACACATGTGGAAAAGACAAGACATCGGAGCTGATTTGTCCCCTTTTCCAAAGAGTCACAGCAGAGTTATTTCAGTAGCGTTATCACAATCCCCCCAAACACATCTCAATTTAGATTTTCATACAAGTTTTCAAGAATGATGACAATATGCAGTAGAATAACCATTGTTGATTTCCTACTATCTTCTTGTGAAATTCTGCATCCTTCCTTACTGGGGAGGGGTGTTGTTGATTTCCTACTATCTTCTTGTGAAATTCTGCATCGTTCCTTACTGGGGAGGGGTGTTGTCTCTTTAAAATTAAAAGAAAAAGACTGTCTGTCACATAGCTCCTGTTTCTCTTTCATGCTCCTCTGCTCTGTGACACCCGAGTGCCTTCAGGCATGGTTTACAGAACTCCTTCGCCTTGACACTGCTTCTTTTCATTGGCTGAGAGTTTGTTTCCTAACCAATGTTGCTGAAAAGAATTCAGCACTCACTGGGCATAGGGGAGGAAATGAGGGATTACTGGCTGGGGACAGGGAAGCTGTGGCTCCCTAAGGAATGGCTCACTTACAGTACTACCCAGATGGGGCTCCTCTTACACAGGGACTGCACCAAAGAAGTTCGAGAAGGCTTGTGATGTAGGGTGGGACTCCCTCCAGCCCACATGCGAGGAGCCCCACCAAGAGCTGTTTTCACAAACATACACAGCTCTCCCTTGCACTGTGCATGTGCAGGTGCATGCGTGCATACACACACACACACACACACACACACACACGCCCAATGTAGTAATGCCACCTAGTGCCCTGACGTGTTTTGCTGTCTTCTCTCTCCTTACATCACCCAGCAAAGCACTGTCTGTAGAGTTGCAGGAGGCGCCTGGCAACCTCCCTTGTGCATCTGCGCAGCCCCTCAGCTGTCCTTGTTCACACTGGGCTGGATTCATACGGGAGGTAGTTTTTCTTTGTTACAAATGAAAATAAAAAGAGCCCAAGCAAATCATAAAAGGTGACAAGTAGGAGGAGAAAAGGGGTAGGAGGAAAAGAATTTGCGTGGGGAGAAAGCCCACGAGGACAGTCTGCCCAGGAGACGTCATGGGGTTCATCCCGGCCTTCTCTTGAGAGCTCCAGGATGTCGCTGCCCCTGCAAACCACAGGCAGCTTGAGCCCTTTCTCCCTGACTCCCCAGCACCTCTGTGCAGGCACAGGTGTGGCCCTGCCTCTTCCTGTGACCAGCCAGGAGCGGCAACCAGAGGCTCTATCTAAGGATGCTGTCCAAGCTGCTGGGATAAATCAAGGCAAGTCAGATCATTTGCTTACAGTCAGACCACAGTCAGACCTCATTCTTGTTCCTTGGCGTGCTGTTGCGGCGGTTATTCAAGAGGTAGCTTAAGGCCACAAAAGACTGCTAAGGGAAGGAGAAACAGCCCCCTCTGTCACTGCAAAAAAACATTTGTACCCAAGTTTCTGTCCCGCTTCCCACCTGTCTCTCACACCTGACCTGTGGCTGAGAACAGAGCTCATTCCAGAAAGACTCTCAGACAGCTTCCTAAGAGACCCTCATATCACTTGTTTTTGTGCTAGTAATTACAGAGAGATCAGATTAGAAATTATAGAGACATTTGTTTATGGTTAAGCTTTTTTTAAAAAAGGTTTTTTTCATCACAGGCTAAGTCTTAGGAAGCACTACTCTTGGTTTAAGTAAGATAGAACAGCAGATTAAAGCTTTAAAAGCCCAAACAAATACCAACATTTGAATTTCTAGAGATTTATGAGTAGTTTAAATAATACCCAGGACTTTAAGGGGAAATTTTTCAGACATTATATAGTTTTGTTTTTGTTGGCTGAGGCTTTATTTTTGTTTTCGCGAGCTTTTTCAAGAAGAGGAGAAAATACTTGAGTGCAAAAGAATTTGTTCATTTTATTTAGGAAGGTTCTTGACCTTGGCTTCTAAAAGGGAAGCTTTGCTCTTTGTTCCTCCAAAGATGCCCCCAGGTGATGGCTTGGGGCTTCCAAGCGGCCAGTCTCTCTCACTCGGGGCATCGGGCTCATCCAGTGTTCACAGAAAGAGCTGGAAAATATTTTTGTGATCTGAGGCCACCGAGCCGAGGATTCCAGAGGAAGTGGAGGCCTCCCGCTCCACACAGGAAACAATCTTCAAGCAGGCCTTAAATGCCAGATTCCAGGCCGAGTTTAACTAACCACTGACAGCTCTGTAAACAAAGCCAAGGACAAAAAGAGCCCGCTTCCCCTTTCCTGGTAGTCATTTCGGGCTTGGGGGCTGCAGGGAAATTCTGGAATCCTTGACTCCATGACACAGAAACCCCGGGGCTGCAGGCTCCTTCTCTGAAGAGCTGGAAAGAGAAGATCTTTCCAGAATTGAAACTATCACAGAGGAGGTAGGAAAGGGTAAACTGGTTGGGTTACACCCGTAGCGAGAACTGCGATTTTTGAGCATGATCACTACTTAAAGCGCTCTTAAAAATGCTGCCTCGTGATGTTTATGCATGGAATGATTGCGGCATCCTTTATTAAAGTCCAGATGCTCGTGCGCTTTTAGGGTACACAAATGATGCCTGCATGCTGTATTCTTTCCCTTTTACTTTTCTCTCTCTCTTTTTTTTTTTTTTCTCTCTGTCTTTGTTCACTTGTTCATAACTTTTGTCTGGGGTTCAACAAGTTACCAAGAGCAAAATTATTCAATAGCTCTCAAGTCCTCTTACCCGTATTTTAAGTTTTTAAAACCTGCCTCCTGGAGTCTTTTATAATTGTTTTTAAAAAATGTAAGCCTGGGATCTTATGCATTTGTCTCTAATAATTTCATGAATTATGCTGAATGGAACTCAGTGTGGGAATCAGAAGCTGATCGCTGACTACTTTATCGGACCACTGAGGCATTTTCCTGAGAGAAATGAGAGGAAATGAAGGAATAAATTAATGCCCGAGAGAGAATAGTCTGGCTCAGAAAGGCTGGTACTGACCCCACCTCTTCCCCTTTTCATCTAGACATTATCTGGTCTCCTGAAACCTCACCATGGATGATTTTGAACGTCGCAGAGAACTCAGGAGGCAAAAGAGGGAGGAGATGCGGCTGGAAGCAGAAAGGTAGGAAATAGGAACTGACAGATGCCTGTGTTTCATTGTTAGGCCAACCCGGGCCCCTCGCTGCACACCAAAACCCCTAGAAAAGAAGCAATGGAAAGTTCCCCTAACTCTAAGACTTTAAATTTCACACTGGAAAACAAACAATTATGAAGAAAAGCGAGCTTGGAGGAGAGTCATGCAGTTGTGGTTCGTCGCTGCTTTTCATGGTTGAATTTTTCAGACACAGGCAATGTGTAAAGAGAGGTTTAAAAAGTTACTAATATTCACATTACAGGAAAATGTCAAATACTGAACACTGGGAGCATTTAGGAAATGAGTCTTTAAGCTAAAAACGGAACGGCAAGAAGTCCCAGAGCAATCCTGTGACAAATGTTTATTTTATAGAAAAGTACTCCAAGTCCAGGGATCCACATGGGAGAGGTTAATGCCTAGTGGGCCGCACTGCTGTGGAGACCGGGTATAGCTGGAAGCCGTCATGCTGGGGGAAGACTCCTGGAGCAGTGACTTTGGGAACAGGTTGTGGAAATAAAGTATCAGAGTACAACATTTAGGGCACAAATGTGTATTTTGAGCTCCGAATGGATAAAGGTAGCGTTTAATGTGGCTGAAGTCAGATGGCCTTTTCAGAAAGAAAACTATTAACTGATGTCCTTAAAATCAAATCAGTTTGCCTGACTTGATTAATAAGCAAATTATTGAACTAATTGATTATTGAATAATCAGTTAGTTATTCCAATACACAGATGAAAGGATGGCAGCAAGACGATCCTTCCATGATCCTGCAGTAGTAAACTGAAAACTCACACCAAAACAAAAGTATCAGAGGCCTGTATTCTACTTACTTGTATAAAGAAGGTAAAGGAAGACCACATTTCCTGCCTTACATTAGGTTGGCCAGGGTCTACGCACATCCAGAGTACCACCAACAAATACTAAGTATGCTCTGTAGAATCAAATCCTAGCCATGCCACTTACAAGCTCCATCTATGGTCATGAGCAGGTGACCTCTCTCTAAGCCACAGCTGCCCCATCTGTGTATCATAAGAGCTACATAGCTCTCATGCTTGTCATAGAAGTTATTAAACTTCCTAATGCCTTTGCCCAGTACCTGGTATATTGTAGGCATAAATGAAAGCCATTGTACTTATTATTTGCCATTATCACTAGCTAAACAGGTTTAAAAAAAAAAAAAAAAACCAGGGCCAGCCAAATATCTCAATAGGTTAAAGCACCTGCAAGCAGGCACAGGGGCTGGGTTCTATCCCAGGGCCTGCTGTGCTGGCCCCGCCCCCAGGGCACGCTGAGACAGCAATTGAGACTAGGCATGGTGGCACGCATCTGTGACCCCAGCTCTTGGGAGACTGTAAACAGGCGGATCACTACGAGTCTGATCTAGTAGTGAGACTCTGAACACCCTATCGACCCTTCCCTAAAATACAGAGAAAAAAAATAAATCAATTAAAAAAAACAGCTAGTAATATAGCAGGAACTAAATATTAAGACCAAGAGAAGGAGAACAGGTTGTTGTCCTTCAGTGAAACTAGTCAGAAAGGGATTTTTGGAAGGGTGAGTCATAGAAGTAATGGTGATGAGGAATAGTCATGGGAGACAGTATAAGGGCAGAAATGACCCCAGAAAAAGCTCAAAAATGGAAAGTATAGGTCCTGGTGCAAGACATCTGTTTAGTCTTGGGAGAAAAGGGTTGATCTTGCACATCTTGGGTGTTTCTATAATTGGAATAGAAAGAGACTTAACAAGTGAGTATTGTGTGCTGAAGTACCTTAGAGAAAGTCACCTGCGGCTGACTGGAGTGTGGAAATCCTGGCACTGGGAGAGGCAGCCTGAGTCAGGGCACTGACTGTGGAAATGGAGAGATCACACGTGGGAGTCTTTTTGTAGAGGAAGAATTAGCAAAATGTTTTGGTAAGGGAAAAGCTCAAAGACAATTTCAAAGATGGTAAGTCTAAGGATCTGAAGAGAGGACCTCTGCTTTGTCCCAAAGGGAAAAGATGGGAAGGATTTCTTTCCTGAGTGCTCATGGACATAGTGTCTCATTATTCCGGGAGAAACCACATCCAAATGAAGACTTCTTCCAAGTGGTTGGAAATAGGAAATTTCAGTCTTTGTTTGGAAAAGAAGAAAAATTATTAGTAGAAAAGTACACTTGGGCAAACTTGTGGTGTGGTGGCATAAAAGCTGAGATAATAATATTCCCAAGAAATCAAGCATGCAAAGAATGAGAGGTCCTAAAGGCATAGTAGACACTGTCAAAAGAGACAGTGTCAATGGTGGGGGAGAACCAAGGAGAAGTGGACGTCAAAGGCTCATAGAGTGTCTACGCAGGCCCAGGGGAGCAACCCCCTATTCTTTCCAGTGCTATGTTACTTGGTTCAAGATCCTCTGACAATCTGCAGAATATCTTCCCTACAAAATATTTATTTAGCACCAACTGGTTTTCAGCGTCGATGGTTGGGGTGGGGAAAGTAATACAGATACTAGGTAGACATGGTTTCAGGTCATGACAGGGAACTATAGAGTTGAGGAGGATCAGAAAAATCAGAGTGCTGGGGGCCAGGGAGATAGCTCAGTAGAATAAGTGCTTGCCTGGCAAGTGAAGGGTCCTGAGTTCAATTTCCAGTAAAAAAAAAAAAGAAAGAAAGAAAGAAAGAAAGAAAGAAAGAAAGAAAGAAAGAAAGAAAGAAAGAAAGAAAGAAAGAAAGAAAGAAAAGGAAGAAAAATCAGAGTGCAGGGACAGACCTACTGGAGGTGAAACTAGGACTGAGAGGCAGGACTTGGATGTTAGGCATCATGCTAGAATCACCTTGTCGGCTACTTTGCTTTCTATGTCAATGAAAGTTAGGGAATCACTGTGAGAGAAATGACAGGTGCTGTGGTTAGAGTGACACTGAGATAAAACTGAGTAAGCCAAGGGTTTTCAGATCTGGGGCATTGCCTAAGAACTGACCACACAGCTACTGTACCTGATTAATTCTTCTGTTACTTGTGATTGTGTGTGTAAGTGTGTATGTAAGGATTTATTTTGTTTTAATGAGAAGCTTAAAAGAAATTCACACAGTAAAGTTCAGTCAGGTATCCCTCATAACCTAAAAAAAAAGTGGTCTGAATCCCAACACATTTTACTTACAACTCTGTCTTTATTACTTCTTTTAGTAGATCATGTTCTATGGCTCTGTCTCTCTGTCTCTCTGTCTCTCTGTCTGTCTCTGTCTCTGTCTGTTTCCCCCCCTCCCTGTGTGTCTCCATCTCTCTCCCTCTTTCTGTCTCTCCACCTCTATCTCTATCTTTGTCTCTGCCTCTCTGTCTGTCTCTCCCTGTCTCTATCTCTCTCCCTGTCTTTCCCTCTCTGTCTCTGTCTCTGTCTCTGTCTCTGTCTCTGTCTCTGTCCTCTCTCTCTCTCTCTCTCTCTCTCTCTCTCTCTCTCCCCCCCCCCCCCCCCCCTCTTTCTCTCCTCCCTGCATTTCTTTTTCTCTGAAATAAAGACAAATAAAGTACTCCCTTATATTTGTACTATGTCACCTTTCCATGTTGCAAGGTGAACCTTCTAATTCTGTTATTTTAGGATTTCATAATCAATGTTCATTCTTTGGGACTTTGTAAAATTTGATCATTTATCAAGATGAAGGCAAGGCCTTACAATCCAGCCACCTTTAGTGCCCAGGAAACAGATACCCAGAACCAGAACTCAAAGACTGTTCTAAAGTCATGGTTCTGATCTGTAGACAAAGCCCATCCAAGTCCAAGACCCTGGCCAAGTCCTTCCTCCTCTGGCTCTAGCCTTGGCTTCCTCTCCCATCACTGATGTTTTCTCAGGATTACAGTCATCCTTATTTTCCTTGTGCTTTTAGCATTATCTAATTTTCTTGCCATGATCATACATTACTTGATTTAACGTCACATAAATAATAAAACAATTTTCAATAGAAAAAAAATAATTCTGTGACCCTATGCACTGTGTACCTAGAGCCAGACTGCAAGGAAAAACTGTTCCCAGACCTGACATGGCAGTGAGGCAAGTTAGCCAGAAGCAGCAGCTTCAAGGCTCAGAGCTACAGATCCGTCCATCCATCCTCATCATGCTCCTATTGGGCATCTCTTCTGCTCCAGAACCCCACTGGAGCCACCTAGGAGAGAACAGAGGGACAGAGTTAGAAAGCATGCTTAAAGCTTTTCAACTTTATAACCTCAAATGTAATGTATACCCTCCTATTGGTTTACTAATAAAGATGACTTATCTTTTAGGGTATAAAATGGCATACTTTTATATTCTTTTTATTATACCTTTTACCTTTGTGTATTGCAGCCCTGATCCTTGGGGGAGAGGGTTACTATAGCAGAGAGAAAGTCTACTGACTTAGAAACTTTCCAAATGAAAGGCCCTGTTTCTTGAATTCATTGTTATTGAGCTTGATTAGTAGTTGCTGTTGCGCTGTGCAATGATAATCATTGAAAACTTGCACTCTGACCAGATGCTGTAACCGCAAACTTAAATAAACCACATTCTTAGACATTTCATTCCTCTGAAATAGTCTTTAAAAGATCACTGGAAATGCTAACTGAATGCTCTGTGTAGTGTCAGCTCTCACGTGCCAGGACTGGTATTTGCCCATCACAGCAGGGCTGCCCTATCTTTGTCCTACAGAGAGCTCAATCTGAGGGCCATACATGTCAACAGATCCAACTTTGCAATAACCTTGAAGGTGGCTATCTGAGGTGTCTTTCCTTGCTTTGTCTTGCCTCTGAGCCTGTGTAATTTCATGCTGTTCACCTCACCCTCGTTCTTCATTTAGCTTTTTTTTTCTTTTTTTCCCATAATTTTATTGAGAAACAAATAGCAATGAGACAGTTTCAAACCAAATTGGTAGGACAGTTAAAATGATTAACACATTGCACACATTCTTCCTAGTGGTTAATTGCTGTACAAGATGCAGACATGATATCCTATTTACAAACACCATTAGAACAAATCCCTCTATTCATTA